GGCTTGATATCATGCACCATGACATGCACCGTCGACTCGGATTCGTCTTCGAAGTCGAGATCGACCTCCTTACGGGTCGCAACACCGGAGGTCAGCATCCGATTGGCTTCCCAGAGGTCGTTGTCTGCATTCTACAGAAAAAGTCAACAACTTAAAGAAGAGATGGAATGCATATCAAGTCTCACATATTGCGCTTGCCTGGCCGATATTCTCCTCTACAAAAGATTTAAGCAACACTGAGCTGCTCACAGATGTGAATCACATACCACTTGTTTTTTCGAGATCTCGGCGTCCTTCAGTGCAGCGAGATCCTCATACTGTGCTAAAGGGTTGTGTTCTTCGTCTCCAGCGACACCACCTTCTTCTGCTCCAGTATACCAATCACGGTCCAATCGCAGCTGCTCTTCCTCCCATTCCCCCACATCGACACCAAGGAGTCCATCATCCTCGGGGCTGCCGCCTCTCGGAACACGCGGGGTCGGTGCATCCCAAGCACGATTCCTTGCCCCTCCCCAGCCAGATCCCTCGCCTTCCTGTCGTCTCGGCGTCGAATCCCACCCAACATTGGGCACACGGACACTAGGTGCATCGCGGTTGCTACTACTGCGCTCTGAGCGGGGTGTAGAATCCCAGCCGCGTCCATTTTGCCGATCCCTGTCATGGTCTCGTCGAACCCATCCCCTATCGTTGTCCCGATTTGATCGTCGTTGGAAATCTCCCAGTCCTTGAGAAGCGTGAGACCGTTGCTCCCGCACGGCAGTGATCCCTTCTAAGTAGTTACCTTGTGGTCAGAAACGATGTGCCACAGCGGGATATCAGAATCGTACCTTTCTGCTTCTCGCGGTTTCGTCGGTATTCCTCCAAACGGGCTCGTGCGGGATCGGACAGACCGCCTGGATGAGACGGTGTCTCTTCTCCTCGCTGCCTTAAACTATTTCCTCGTCCGACTGGCAAACTGGGGACTAGACGCAAGGTAAGAGGGGATTACGAAAGTTGCAACATTATCGCACCTTTAAAAAAAGTGTCATCACTCAGCCTGGATTTTTTTCGAGGGCCATTTTCAGATAGAGCCTGTTCTCTCTTTTCCTTTGCCAGTCGATCAAGACCAAGTAAAGAGCCTCGAGGAGTTGGCGGTTCAATTGGCTTCGCAGGCTGACGGAAAGTGTGCCTCTATAGATTATAAGCAATTATATAGAACACTGAGCGCTGATAAACGCACGGTATCGTTCCTCACGAGACCGCCTTGTCGGATTGGGTCAGGCTCGAGCACCTCGCTATCATGGACTGTTATACCCTCGACGGGACGAGGAGCAAGCCCAGAAGCCTCCTGCTTGACATGTGACAAGATTTCGTCATGCAGTTCGGTCAAAAAGGAATCTTGAAACTTGCCAAACGCCCGAGCCGCTGCAATAAAGTGTTAGCGAACGTACCTGGACCTCGGTGCAGTGAAATTCACCTTTGGCGAAGCCTTCCGAGGAGTTGGTTTTGGCTATGTCGATAACACGCTCTGCAAGCAAGTCGTTTGGGTTTACGAGGTTCAATGCTCGTGAAAGTTGGATGGCAACATGGTGCTTGAATCCATCGTCCGCATTCGGAGACATGACCCGCCTAATTTAGTCCAAGTTGCCTAGTCGTTGAATTGTTTAACGAGGCTGCCGATGCACACAGGCTTTAGCACTTGAACACTGAAGCCTAACTAAGGCCCTGCACATGTGGTTGTAGGGAGACAAATATAGTCTTACGTCAGCGGCTCGCTCACACACAGTGCCACCGGCACATGCTCCACAAACCTAAGGCTAGGGAACTAGGACAGTCGTTCCTTCCACACTCGTGATTTTAGCAAACGATGGACACCTTATTTCTACCATGGTTGCGGGCATGGCTAAGCATGAAAGCGTATGCTCTCTGGATGTCTCTGGTTATTCGAGATTTCGATCCGCATGCATCACAGTGGCACTCAGCAACTGCGAACATTTACCTCGACTTTTTACAGTGACAAACCGTCCATTCTATCTACACGTCTCTATACGTATAAAACCGCGGTCTTTTCGCTACATCATCAATGAAGTGTGTCATGCATCCGAGGCGCACGATTCGAGAATTATTCTGTCTGAGCACAGCTGGCCCAGATCAGAGGTGTACAGGCATCGGAATGTTGTCGGAATGGCACACGCATCGTCAAGAGTTCTTAGTGAGGGTCCCACCAATAGATGGTCCTTGTGGTGCGTTTTATTTTTGAGCCCTTGTGTCTTACTGCTCTTAGGGTGTAAATGCTTAATGGTATCACGAGTTAATTGTACAATTTTAACTCAGTTCTCCACGGCACTCGCGACTGAAGCACTCATATTTCCTATTTTACAGAGAGCGCCATCAGATATCCTGGATCCATATGACTGGTCATGCAGGTGACCAATATGGAGCTCACAATAGGTACTGTCTTCCAAGACAGTCAGTAACTTGAATTGGCCGGCGGTCGAACGCTGCACTTTTCCACAGCTTTCTCGTGAGATCGGCAGTCTCTTTTGCGAGTGCGCCACTTTATGTCTGGGTGTTTCTCCGTCACTAGCACATGTTTCCCTGTCATGGGCTCCTTCGCTATCATGCCGGCACTTGTATCAACAAGTTTTTTTTTCGTTGTTTCCGAAGGGGGTCGACTCCCAACCCAGGGGCGCCATGACTCCCGCTTTGCCGCATGATATGCTTCACATGGACTCATCACGAGCTCAGAATTATCTCCCCGTCAGGAGTCAGGGATGGGTTTAAATATGGAGACCAGGCAGGGGGTCCTACTCTTGCCCTCCCTGGACATACATCGTCAGTCTGGTAGGCTGTCTTTCACCATGAAGCTCAACACTGTCAATGTCAGTTTCGCTCTTGCTTCGCTTGCCGGATTGGCTTTGGCAGGTGCAGTCTATACTCTCGACGACAGCATTGTCGGCGAAGACTTCTACAGCTCTTTTAATTTCGAGGCTATCCCCGACCCAACTGACGGGCGTGTGTATGTCTACCCCGCACGCAATTTGTTCTGTTTCTTATTGAGTGACAGGACATATGTGAACCAATCAACGGCACAGATGCTCAACTTGACTTATGCCACGAGCAACACCTTCATCATGCGAGCAGATGACACTACAGTCTTGACCGCCAGCGGGCCGGGCAGGAATTCAGTCAGGATTCGGTCCAACAACCAGTACACGCAGCATGTTGTCGTGTAGGTGATCCCTCACGAATATCTCACCGACTGATGAACTTCGATGACAGCTTTGATATGCTGCACATGCCCGAAGGATGTGGGTAAGCCTCTTTTCTTCGTCCGAGGTGTTCTGTTGCGCACTTATCTGAACACAGAACATGGCCTGTAAGTAGTTGGCACCGACGGAGTAAGCTTATAGTAACGGATCATAGGCTGTCTGGGAAACCGACGAATCTAATTGGCCTGACGGTGTTTGTTTTTTCCCCTGCATGCACGTGATAGCTCTAACCCTGATGTGGATCCCTTTGCTAGGGTGAAGTCGATATTGTGGAAGGCGTGAACAATGTGGAGCCTAACCAGTCGACACTCCACACTAGCCCTAGTTTGTTCAGTGTAATTTTATGGATGTGCTATTTTCAACTCCTGTTATCACGCAGACTGCACCATGCCAGCAAACATTACCCAGTTAGGGTATGTTTCGAACTGGCACTGCACAAAACCGTTTGACTAAGGTTCTGATTGTGTAGCACCGCGGTTGAAACTGACTGTGACACTGCAGGTGAGGCCACCATTGTTCATTTCCATCTCTCACTAAAATGTAATAGCCGATGGAAATGCGGGCTGTGGTGTGCAGCTCACGGAAGACTACAACAGTTTTGGTCCAGGATTCAACAGCATCGGTGGAGGATGGTGCGTTACTGCAAACCATGATTAATACTCCTGTGCCTTACAGGTCCTTCTGTAGGTATGCTATGGAGCGCACAGATAGCTATATCGCGGTATGGTTCTGGGAGAGAGATGACGATTCCGCTCCATCCGATGCTACCAGTGGTGCAGGGACAATCGACACCACCTCCTGGGTAATGGTCCTTACATTTGCCAGATTAATTGCTTACATACCATCTGACTACCAGGGAACTCCTGCCGCTTACTTCCCTAACACCGACTGTGACCTTGCAACTCACTTTGATGCCAACAACATTATCATCAACTTGACATTCTGCGAGTCTTGCCTCACTTGTAACGTTATGCCAGGCTAATGCAACGTACAGGTGGAGACTGGGCAGGCAACGCAGCTGTCTATGCTGCCTCTGGATGCCCATCGGACTGCGTAACTTACGTCGACAGTAAGTGCTCACCCACCGACGTCTAGTACGACTACAAATCCCTTATCACTATCCGCAGGCAACCCTACCGCGTTCACAAACGCCTACTTCCAATTCTCGTCCATCAACATCTACACGTAGACCATCGCCGGAATGGCTGTGAAATAGTTTTTCACAATAAACCATCTTGTTGTACATGTGTAATGAAATGTGGTACATAAACCAGATGCCACTGAGTTTGAGAATATGTAAGTAATGACATCTTATTACACAAGGGTTCTGTCATAGTGTTGTCACCCAGACTTGAAAGTTCACAAGAGATGTCGTTAGCTGGGCTGGCGCTCATCTTGCAGCCATTTGTAGGAGGCCAGTTCCCAGAAAGAAAACATAAGTCGGCAAGTTATGTAAGTCAAACCATGAACTCTTAACTTCCGACAATGATCAATCCGCGGTCGTACTGGTACCGTTGTTACTGGGCATTACCTATTACCCCAGAAATTCGTGGAATCCGATCGAACGTTGAATTGAAACAACACTGTCCTGTTTTATCTCTGACAATTGGCCTAGTGTTCCTGCAAACGGCTGTGATTATCAATATGCGTTATCTGGTTCGACTGATCGTGTGTAAGTAATGCCTGAACACATGATGCTGAAGAATCGGTCTTTGTATAAAACAGATGTGAATTCGTCGTGTGAGGAATCAACGGGGATCACTTGGATTAATGAGTTATGCTTCCCTGGTAATCACCGAAGGATACCCAGTCCAGTGGTTACACATACCGCCTCTTCCCTCTAAAATCTCCATATCGGTCTGCTTTGGGCATCCGCCCGAACTTCGGTTCCGCAGTTTCTGGAACGGCATGAGCTCAATTCGTGAAAGAGACTTCTTGCGAAACTCACTGAGTATGTCCTTGTAAACCGCGGGAACTCCTTCGCTCCAAACCTCTCGCCACATATGGGCACCTCCGCCAACATTCCTATCTAGGCCATACTTCTCCATAAATGCCCTTACATCAAAGCCTGCACGCTTGTCCTTCGCAATCATGTGAATAGACAGACGGGAGTGTTGGGGGAGGAGTAAAATGGTATAGCGGTGATATGTAGTCCCACGTTGCGGGTGAGGAGGTATATAGGCAGTATGGGTGTTCAGGTTTGGCACTGGGGAAGGAGAAACACTCGAAAGAGGGATGTTCGGTCTGAATAAGAGGTCAGTCGACGAAGTGAAGGGAGAGCCCATTGCTCACTGAAGCCAATGCAGATACGTTTGGAATGTTTGATTGGTCTCATCAGGAAAATCTGTTACTGGTGTCAGTGCCGGTCACATTGTAGTTTAACACCGACTGACCCGGATCGATCATCAAAAGAGTATATAGTCGCTCTTCTGGATGAAAGACGGTTGTATATATCTTAGGAGGCTCTACAGTCTGAGACATTATCAGCAGAATGAATACGCAAATGACCTACAATACACACCTGCTCCGGAAGAAGGAATACTCCTGGTTCAACGTGCTCGTACACGGCTTTTGAAACAGCAGCCTGAAGCCCTGTATTGGACTTTACTTTTGGGAAGTTGACCCGAAGATCCAACGAGGGATGAATATGAGGCAAAACGTCTGGCACAACTTTCATCTGGTGGATACGTTCCATCTACAAAACAGGAGATTGAGAAACATTACCGAACAGTTCGATGCATACTTACCAGCAAGTCTAGTGCACCCTCTTTCCTCCACCGCTGCTCCAAGAGGTGTCTGTCAACAGCTTTGGACATGTCCGCTGAAGGACTGTGAGCATGACACAACGTCCAGTCAGGGACTTGCTTACCCATTCCATTGGCACATTTCCACCTCACTTGAGGAAAATTTATCTCGCTCTGCACTTCTAAAATTCTCAGCTTGTTCTCCAGCACCAGCAACGCGTGCTGGTCAGGCTGAGGTGTCTCCTTTTCACGTGCAATAGCTCCCTCCAAAGCCTTGACTTCATCCTTGAGCACTATTGAATCTTCTTTGATGACCTTCAGTGCTTCATCGAACGCAGGAAGCACACCAAATGCAAGAGGCCTATTCCATTCACGCGGATGTTGCAGCGAAATTCTAGGCCGACGTGTTCTAATTGCTCGAGACTGCTTCTTTTGCGGTGTCACGGGTTCTCCAGATGACTGAGACTGCGAGCCGTCAGTGTCCACAGCCGTCGACGCGAGAGCTACTTGTTTTGTTGTACTTCGTCGCGCAAGACCAAGAGCTCGGGGTTGGACGTGACGTAGGGCTAGCATTACGACGGGATTATGCAGCCTACACCTTCGAAGAGAGGGTAGGGAGAACGAAGGCTTTAGTTAAAATGAGTGAACGAAATTTCTCTTGAAACTAAGATCTGATTCTAGAAAAGGAAACTTCTTGAAAGCTTTGCTCAGATTTAAGCTTAGAGCTACACTGACTGCCGCATCAGGGGCATACTTGGTGTGATAAATCGAATGGATAGCAAGAACGTATACAAATCGTATATATTAGTGTATCAATCAAGTAATGGTATCGTAGATGCAGTGAGATATAGGAGCACGATATAATAAATAACTGCAAGGACAACAAGTGGATTAGCATGGAGAAACACCAAACACCATGGACATAATATTACGTATAAACAAGAGTCAAGAGTAGGAAACAATTATGCACGACGAAGGAATACAACAGCTCACGCGATATATACACCGATAACAACAAAACAGACACCCTAGAAAGTGGAGAAACACAAAGCAGTGCGGGAAAGACTAGCCGCAACCCGGTCCTGCCGGAATCGATATTGAAACTCTGCAATTTGACTCAGTATGGAGCGGCAAAGATACAGAGTGACACAAACCTCCATCTCGTACAACGGGATTCTGACAGCGACGACGTTCTTCTTGTTCTTCTCGTTCCATTTCAATTTCGTACGGTGCCTTGTACCCAGGTATCCGGACACCGATCTTTGGAGGTGAATGTTTTGGTTCCCAGCGACCACCGCCTGTTGCCTTACAAATAATACTGGACCTCCGTAGTGGATATGCATCTAGTTCGCCGTATGATGGTTGGGGGACCTCGAATTCAGTAGGAGATAAGATAGAAGTGGGTAATGGAAGATGTCCGGTGCTGAAATGAGATGAGCTCCGGGAAATGCGAACGGGCCGAGAGGGGGGTGCTGGGCTGTCCACAGGAGATGCACAAACAGACGAATTGGGAGAGGGAGCTCTAGAATCTACCGGAGACTTGACAAGCATAGGAGTGGATGGTCTGCCGTCTGGAGTGCGAGGGGAATTGCAGCCGTAGATCTGGTCCCAACAGTCGTCGCAGACCTTCTGTACGAGAACTGGTGACGTTGGACTATCGTAATTTGAGACGGGCACATTCCGCGGAGGATGAAGGAAATCAAGATTGGAAACGTCAAGCAAATGGGTTGAACGGGTAGTGCACTGGTGGCAAAAAACGCCACCGCACTTTCTGCAATGCTGTTATGTACAATTAACGTTTTGGACTAAACTAAGATGTAAAATTCGAGCTCACATGACGCCGTTCAAGAACCGAGAACTTGATGTGGCAATAAAAATTATCACATGTGGTAGCGAGAGAATCAGGCTAAGTGGGGTAAGGTCAGTATACTGAACAACGGAGTGTGTCAGCATCGAATTGCACCTTCCAGAGGCTCCTTGGCAATAGAACTGCCAAATGTTCATTAGTGCGTGGGGGTAAGGCAAGATAGAGGCGCGAGTCGGATGTTGGGGAAGACCCTTTACAAAATCTGTCAGAACAAAAATCCAACATGTTTCTCCCGACAGTAATACCTTCCGCAAGAGAGGAGGCGTCAGAGGAGCATTCTGATTCATTAGAAGTTGGTGAGCCAGCGTAGGCCATCGTAGAATGTGCCTTTGCAGCAAGGTTGGCAAGTACAGTAGCAACTTGAAGAACAGACATGGCGAAAGAAACTGGTGGAGAAAATAATGTAAGGATGAAATGTGACGTGCACTTAAGCCGCAATACCGAGCTCATCTTTTCCGTTGCGACAAGTTATATCGAAACCCCATCATTGTCGTGGGAATATCTGGGAGACAACGGCGCTATTTCGAACCTTGAAAAATTGTACATTTCTAGTATATTGTAATTAGCCGACCCAGGCCGACCCTTGCAACAACCTTGGCTGGAGCCGCTCAAGGCCGCTCGACGGGCTTCTTATCATTGGAGGATTTGGTGGAAACGAACAAAACCCAGATCGATTTTATAACGTATATCAATGCCACGGAGTTTCATGGAGTGTCCGTCGAAATGACATATCCGGGCAAATCCTTGGGAACCAAACCTTGCTCGAGATCTAGAGCTGCATCATGGTTGGTTGCTTTATGTAAGTCAGCGATATCTTCCGGCCGCTCTTCCCAGCGCAATCATTTATGACAATGTGTGTAATATACATGCTACCGGAGGCTATGTGCTGAGTAGCGCCGGGGCCGAAGATTGCGTTTTCAATGTTTATCCGCGATATACATATACTGTCGTGAGAAGGCTTAGAGCCACTGCAGATTATAGAGATGGCAAGGTGAGCGACTCAACATTGTAAGTAAAGACAATTGTTCATACATAAAGTGATGAATGTTTCCAATAAACAGTAGGTGTGACAAGTAGGGTAAAACTCAAAAGCAGCTAAAGCTAAAAGCAGTACATACGATCTCACGAAAGCACAAGCGAATGATTAACCACGGCGTCCTCCTCTCGCGCTGTCAAAATGCTCATCCAGAAACCGTCCGCCGCCTGGCCCGCGTCGCGAATTCTTCGCAGCCAGTGGAGATTCTGCGAGACGCCCGACAGGGGCGAGATTACGACCAATTGGTGTGATGTCAGGGCCGGAGGAGAGGTGGGTAATTGGAAGTTGCGAATCATCTTCTGCACCTCCCAACAGATGGTGGCCAAAACGACGGTTTGACATGCCCTCGCTAGGTCTAGTGGGCGTGTGGAACAGCTCAGGACCGCGTCCCTGCCAGAAATTATTCTTTGGTGTTGCAAAGGGAGCGCCAAATCTGATGCCGCGTGAAGGTGTCGAGGTTGGATCAAATGGAGATTCGTCAGCCATAAATGGCTCAGCACAACCAGGCGTCGTTGTGTACACACGAACACTTTGAGAGGAGAGTTGTGGTGTCTGTGGACCAGGCTGGGAAGATGTTTCATCCCAGGAAGAACCAGAGGAAAAATAAGGGCCTGCCCTGCGGCCAGGTGGGGTCATGGGTGGCCGTGGAGACCTGTTCCAAGGAACTGCTGGCGAAGGGTTGAGGCCGGCGTGAAAGAAGGGTGGGTCGTAGCTTTTATCATGCCTCAGTTTCTCTTCAGTTGGCACAAACATCGGCTCGAATGACGGTAGGATATCTGGAGGGGGTGTTTTGGCACAACTGCCACAAAACCAGGGATCTTCCTCCCTGCCCAATTCCGCGATACTTCGAATGCCAATGCATTGTAGGTGATACCAAGTATGACATCCGTCACATTGAACCAACTCTCGGCCATCATCACTGCCTCGACAAATACAAACAATTTCATCGTCGATGTCATCGTCGGTGGATTTGCGCTGCGCTCGTCTAAACGAGAACTGTCTAATTGATCGCTTCGATAGCAATGCAGTTCTGGCATCAGCTGGATCGCTCGGAACAACGGATACCGTGGTTGGACCACGATCTCGATTCTGTGAACGAGCGAGAAGAGGATACGTTTTGCCTTTGCCGCTACCGAACCCGGGACGCGCTGTTTGATTCTGAAACAAACTCTCTTCGTCGTCTTCATCATCCGAATTCCGGCTGAGGAAATTTTCGATGTACCGCAAGCGTTGTTCCTCCTCCATTTTGGAATAATCATCGCACTGCTCCGAACGTAAGCGCCACGGAAATTGGGTATCCGGCCAGTTTGGAACATCAACAGTTGCTTCCGACTGCAAGGGAAAGGTACTCTGGTCCTTTGATTCGTCCATGGAAGGTGTCTTCTTCTTTTTCCGGTAACGCTTCTTCTTCGATGAACTTAGTTTATTTGGACTGGGTGGATCAGGGGGTCCAATATCCATCAAGACTCTGCCATATCCTTCCACCTCAACTGGAGCTAGCTGTGACCGTGAGGAGGAAACTTGGGAGGAATTCCGGAATGCAGACAACCTGTTCTGTTGGCGGAGCTCCTGCTCGCTAACCAAAGGAAGTGCTTCTGGCTCTCCTGAAGGATTCGGGTCCCCAGGATTCACAGGTCGCAGCAAGTCCATGCGCTGGATGGTGAAATGGTGAGAGGGTCAGCATGCCCGAGGCCAGCTGGAACCAGTACATACATAGCGATCGTAGCCTCCTGCCATCAAACTTTCTTCAAAGCTTTCGTCAGAAGTTTGCTGAAATAACATCAACCGCCGGCCTTTGATAGGACTCTCCGTTACCCCGATCGTTGCGGCGGCCCGCTGTCCTTCTATGCCGTCTACATCAAGAGGGGGCGGCGACTCTATATGCTTTGCACGCTTGAGATAATCAGGCCTCCGTGCTTCCGCTTCTCGTGTGAGGCTGATCTGATTCTCTAACAGCTGTGCACGGATTCGAGCCATCTCCCCTCCGACCTCTTCGGTAAGTTCCTGTGATGTGGGATGTGGTGAAAATATACTGTTAGACGAAGGTAGGAAGTCGGTAGATGAAGCTTGAGATGCTGGACGTTTTCTACTTGGCGTGGAATTTTCGGCCTCCACTGATTGGTGCGTACTGAATGTGTTATCTTGCGCAACAGAGATATGAGGACGGAGAGAATGATCTGCTGTGCCCCCGACGGGTCCATCTA